TGGTCTTGCTGTAGGTATCCATTATGATTTTCCAAGAGATTAACTATAACATGCAGAAAGAAAATAACAATAATATTAAAAAATAAGGAAGTTATACGTGTTTAACATTGGTAGGTCTTATTTGGTCCACCCTGTACCAAAGCAACGTCTACTTCACCTGAGAACAGTTGAAGCAGGAGCGCAGTAGTTGCTGCTTGACTGTTCACGTTTACTGGCCCTTCGGTGTCAGTTTTGTAGACTTTTAGCGTAGTCTTCCTAAAGCCATAGCTCACCCTATGGTCGCTTTTTGAGAGTGCCTCCAGACTTTCATCGTTTATTAGCAGGACTACCTGCATTGTTGCTCGCTCCGTTGGCTCCGTGTTAACCTTCCAGTTGTGTGTAGGGATCAGAGCTGTAATAATCTGCATTTTTTTTTTGCAATCCATGATAGTGCTACTAATATGATTACAATCAAAATTTATCGCTTTTTGTCTGATTGCAAAAACTACAATCTGCAATCATTCATTAATCACGACTGCAATCAATTTGATCGTAAGACTTTTGATTGCAATCAAATCACTGATTCAATCAAACATCTTAATTGCAATAACAAAAATGCAATAATTTATTCATATTTTATTTTTTCCGTTTTATGTTTCTTGTATGGCACAATAACACAATGTAAACGGCGAGTTGTGACCACGTAAAATTGCATGCACGTTATTTTTGTAATTTACATTGAGGAAAAAGTTTAGTTACGTCAACAAAATATGTTTCTGTCAACACATGATTTGGTCATCGTTACACGATTAAGTTATAGTTACCAAATCTTGAGTTGAAAGAAATATATTTAGCATACTTTTTTCTCAGTGTACCATGAGGTCATCATATTTTAGTTTGTTCCAGTATTCTGTAGGCAAAAACCTGTGGAACTGTCAAACTAAAATGTTACTCTCTCAAGTGAGAGTTACAGGAGAACATATGCAGAAGTGTACTGGAATTCAAAAAGCATTTTTTCCTGCACAAACATCAGTGGGTTTCTTGACATGTCATTGGTACTACACTCATTTGGCTGAACAACCAGTAAAAAACACCGTGCGAAAGTGGGGCAAAATATAGTAAAACTGCGTTTTTAGTTTTTCTCTCTGACGTCAGTATTTTTTTAAGACGACGTTGCAATCTCTAGAATACGATTGAATAAAAAAAAATATTTAAAAGATGCTGTGCAGTGTAGAGTAACAATGTGGGTATCAATTAAAAGGAAAAATTCTGTAGAATAGAAAAAAAATTAATATTTGGTTGCACCAGGACGAATAAGTATTGAAAAGGTCCTTTTAAAACTCCTTTATCCTTGGAAATTTCCCAAATTTATTTAAAAAACAAATATATGTCAAGGAGTAATATGTTAACTACCACATCCTCGAATTTCGTCCTTCTAACTTTATTAGTTTTAGATTAAAAAAATTTACACTTTTCTTTATAAGATATTGATAGTTACAATATACATAAATGAAGATACTGGAATCATTATTATGGAACCATGTATGCACTCTAAAAGATCGAACTGACCGTATGGTTTAAATACTTGTAATTGTTTTGTACACAAAGGCGTAGTCCGCCTTTCATCTAGGGTGCAGGAGATTATATAGAGGGAAAAAATGTTTTTAATTATATCTTTTTTTTGTGTATATAAAACGAAATTTGCGGAGTTAAGAAAGTATAAGTTTTCTGGTAGCTTTTACAATTTTTACCAATTTTTTAAAAATCGGTTAGTAATTTTTTGTTTAAAATGTTTTTCTTTATAAAAAAAGGGTATTTTTTGTTTTCAAGTGCCTTTTCTCAAACTATTATACACGACGTATACAAATATGCACACCAGAAGAAAGGGGGTTCAATCGCCTTTACAACGATACCAATTTCATAAAAATCGGTTAGTAATCTCTTTGTTAAATTTTTTTTATAAAAAATGTATATTTTCCTTTTAAGTGTTTTTTCTCAAATTTTTATATACGAAGTATACAAATACGCATATCAGAAGAAGATTTGATTGCATTAACAACGATATCAATTTTTTTTTTAAATCGGTTAGTAATTTGTTTGTTTAAAATATTTTTTTTATAAAAAATGTATATTTTCCTTTTAAGTGTTTTTTCTCAAATTTTTATATACGAAGTATACAAATACGCATATCAGAAGAAGATTTGATTGCATTAACAACGATATCAATTTTTTTTTTAAATCGGTTAGTAATTTGTTTGTTTAAAATATTTTTTTTATAAAAAAAGGTATTTTTTCCTTTTAAATGTTCTCAAATTTTTACATACAAAGTATACAAATATGCATATCAGAAGAGAAGGGGGTCTAATCACGTTTACAACGATACCAACTTTTTAAAAATCAGTTCAAAATTGTTTGAAATATAAGGTTTTTAATTTTTCGAAGAACCGACCTGTGCCCCCTTATAGCACCTGTAATATCAGTTTGCAAAAATAAAGTTATAAACAGGTACCGTAACAGTTACAATTTTTATTACAAAAATCACTCTTTAACAATTATTTTTTTACTTTTATTTAATTTCTCTTTAAATAACCGTTATTTCTGACTTTTATTTTATAAATAGAAAATAACAATTATTTTTGATTTTTATTTAAATAATCTGCAAATAACAGTTATTTTTGATTTTTAAATTATATGTCTTAAATAACAGTTATCGAATACTTTTATTTATAAAAGTCATAAATAAAAATCAGTCACTGATCTTTATTTCTTCAATCATACTTATAAAAGTCATTTGAATAAGTCGTAGTAAACTTTTGTTTTCCAAGACCTTAACTGCGAAAAATGTTAAGGACTTTTATACGATTGATTTAAAAAATTAAAGTCGGTGACTGATTTATATTAATGACTTTTAAAAGAAAAAAATGTCACTGACTGATTTTTATTGATGACTTTTATAAATAAAACTCTTCAATAACTGTTATCTAAGCCATATAATATAAAAATCAAAAATAATTGTTATTTTGGATTTATAATATAAAAATCAAATATAATAGTTATTTTTTTAATCTTTGAATAAAAATTGCAAATAAAAATTTATTTTCAAATTTGAGTCTCGGTGCAAAACGAAATCGATTGGTATGCTTCACTTAGTTGTAGAACATTTCCTTCATAGTGAATTTTTCCATGACAGTTTTCATCAATAACTCTTATGTTCGGTCCCTGGTTATAAACCATTTAAATAAGAGCAAAAGGCGGTCTACGACTGTATTTTTAGTTTTTTAGTTATTTACATATAATAATAAAAAATAATTTTTTACCAAAGATTCTATTTCGAACTTCGAATGCGATTTCGGAGGCTAACTTCGAAAAACTCTTTTAACTATGACTGAATCTCTTAAAAAGATTGGTTTGTCCAATACCCAGCGGAGTGCTGTACAGTGTAATGATTCTAGTATCTTCATTTCTGTATTTTGTGTAACTATCAATATCTTATAAAGAGAAGTGTAAATTTTTTTTTTATTTAAAACTAATAAAGTTAGAAGGACGCAATTCGAGGATGTGGTAGTTTACATATTAGTCCTTGACATATATTTTTTTTAATATATTATATATTATATTTTTAATATATTTTTTTTAATAAATATTGGAAATTTCCATGGATATTCAAGGATTAAGTTTTAAAAGGACATTTTCAACATTTATTTGTCCTGGTGCAAAAAAAATGATTTGTTTTAAATTCTACAGAATTTTTCCTTTTAACTGATACCCATATTGTTACTCTACAATGCACCAAATCTTTTAAATAATTTTTTTATTCAATCATATCTAGGAAATTTCAAGGTCCTTAAAAAAAAATTCTGACGTCAGAGAGAAAAATTAAAAACGCAGTTATACTATATTTTGTTTTGCTAGTTTTGTGAATATATTAATTTTTTCGTGTGTTTTAAAAATTTTTGGTTTTTGTCGCACGGTCGGTGTAATTATTAAAATATATTCAATTAAGAATAACTGCGTACATATTCAAATATTTCGTTTTTAACTTAATTTTTTTAACAAATGTAAGGTTCTTTGCTTTCACCGCGTTTTGTTTTTGTATACAAATGTAACCCTGTCTATCGTTTAACACTTTTCATGAACTTGCAGGAAGGAAAACCTTGGGCAAAATCCTGCAACTTCTGACTGGTAAGAGTTGCTCTCTTACTACTGTTGCTAGTGAGACAAATTCTTGCTTACGGGAACGACTTCCTGTAATATCACCCTTTGCTTACTATGTCCTGGAGTGCTAGAACAAATTATTTGTCTTATATGTTTAAGTTAGACAATAGTCGTTAGGAAGTTGTTGTTGCTTGAAGAAAAACATTTTATTCACAAAACGGCAAAAAAAATATTGAGGACTGTTGTAAAATTTTAGCTCATAATATAAATATGACAACTTTTGGATTATTTTAAAGAATTTATATTTGGCAGAGCCATTAGCGGGGGCACTTCTAGTTTGTGTGGTCAGGCGAAGTATGTATGATTTGCGTTGGCTCATCAGTAGATATAGCAACAACGAAGAATGGTGGGTGATGTAGGGGAAAACGAGATCAAGAGGGATATGCGGAGATGCAGCTTTCACATGCAGAAAATCGAATTTTTATGCACGCACTTTTGTATATGCTCGCCATTATCGGAACATTAAAGACGGCAATCGAAACAGCCTACTGCTAGGTGTAACGCCGTGAGGGGGTTCACTTTGCGCTGCTAATGCGCTGCGCTAACACACCGAGGGCTTGTGTGGCTCACCATCGACCTTGTAAATTATTTATTAAAACAAATTTCATTTAAAAACTTATAAAAAGTGTTGATTAAGACATACTGCAATTTTTATGCAATTGATGATTGCAATAAAAAATTTATTGCAATCCATTTTTTTTTAAATGATAGCATATACTAATTTTTGCAAACAAAATATAAGCCATATTACGTAAAATATGCGATTGCAATCCAATTTAATTGCAATTTCTACAGCCCTGGGGATTTCCTGTACCCACGGATTGAAGGAAGAGTAATTTTATGCACTTGAGGCGGAGGCATAAAACGTCCATGCGAGACCTCTTAATGTTAATATTTTTGCACCGAATTTTCAGCGGATAGTTTTTAGCCTTTATGGAAGCTAAAAGGTCAAGAGTGTCAAAGAAAGAACCAGTTTATTATATGTATTAAAAATAATCAACAAACATTCGTAAAAATTTCTAGCTTTAATTATATTTCCTAGAAAATTTCTGAGTATGCAGTTTTGTAGCCCATTGAATTTTAGTAGAACAAAATACAAGTTTTAAATGGCTCAAAATTACGTTTGATTTTTAGAACTTTTTTTGCCCCATTTGCTTCCATATAACGAATACACACAATTTATTTTTATATGGAAGAAAACCGGAACATAGTGAACACAAAAAAAATATAAAAAATCAAGGGTAATTTTTAGCCATTTGAAACTTCTATTCTACTGGAATTCAATGGGCAAAAAAACTGCTTACGCAGAATCTTTCTAGGAAATCTAATTAAAAAAGCTAGACATTTTTTGGTTTTGGTTTTGTTAAAGAGTATAAGGTATAGTATAAAAAAAAAAACAAATAGCAACAAAAATAATATGTTAAAACGCAACGAAAGTTAAGCATTTACTAAAGCTAAAATTTCATACCAGTTTTCGTTGTGCCTCTTCAATTCTTCTGTTGTTTTCTGCAAATATATTTTCCAGTTCTTCTCGTTTCTTTTTGTCAAACTCCTGCAAAGAAATAAATGTTATAATTAGTACGTGACATAGACGTATAACTAAATAAATAAATTCGGGGGAAACCGAACCTTATATACCCGGCGCAGGTATGAAATATCATCGTTTAAACTTTCTCTAAACAACCGTTGCATGATAAGCAGAGGTGTTTTCCCGATTTCAAACGTTTTCGATAATATGCTGCGTTAGACTTAATGATATAATTGGACCAAGTTTTGTAGTAATCGGTAAAGTGGTTACCGAGACACTCTTTGTAGCCATAAAGTGGGTGGGGCCACGCCCAATTCCTAAAAGTCTATAGCAGTCTTACTTATTGTTAAGAGATTGTAGTAACTATTGACCTGGAGCTAATTAGCATCCTCAGTTATAGAAATATCGGAGTTTTCGCGTTTATGAAGTTTACCGTTATACTGGAAACGGATGTAATTTTAGTTCGATTTGAATAATTTTCAACGAAATACTTTTCCGTTCCAAGTTTATTAAGTGCACCGAGTTTGGTATAAATTGATAAATCGGTTACCGAGATACACATTTATGGTCATAAGGGGGCGCCACGCCCTTTATCCAAAAATTTATTATAATCTAATTTTCTGCTAAGTGGTTATTGTAATCATCGATTTTAAGTAAATGAGCATCAGTAGTTACTGAGTTATCGCAGTTTTCGTGTTTCTGTAAATTACCGTTAATTGGTTAGTGGTCGTGGCTATTGACATAGTTTAAAGATCAGAAGAAATTGAAAATGAGCGACACGTTTAACAAAATAATTTGAAAAATCAGTAGGTCCCAGCTACTTTAAGAGTGACTTTATTATACTTAAGTTAAATGGGCTACAAAACCGCATACTCAAAATCTGTGAAATCTAATTAAAAAGCTGGACATTTTTACATACAGGTGAAAATAATTTGTATAAGCGTGTTAAAAAAAAATATCTATCTATCTATACTATAATAAAACTGTAGATTGTTTTTCTGTTTGAACTCACTAATCTCCGGAACTACTGAATGGATTTTCAAGGGGCTTTAACTGGTATCTAGACAGTGACCTCGGACGTAACATAGGCTATATTTTATCATAACTGGAATGTGGACAAAAAAGATATACCAATTTTTGCAAACAAAATTTACTTTGCACCAAATTCTTTTGAATACTATTTTGCTTTTCAACGACATCAACATATGCCAGTGTTTATTTTTCGTTATTGATATTTTTTTTCAACTGAAATAGTAATTAGTGTCGTTCGTACATATTGAGAACGGTCTTCAACATAGATTCATACGAGGTTAAACGTTTCTCGCGGAGTTCTGTGTCTTACAAGCAGTGTTGCCAGAACTTTTTGGACGAACCGGCTAAATTGGCAAATAAAACCGGCTAAAAACGGCTAAAATGTTTCAACTAAATTTCACATTTCATTTATTTAAATAAATCACGAGTAAAAAGACTATTTCTTGGAGAGAAGTTACAAATTCGAGCCGGAAAAAATTTTGCCAGCAAGAATTTGCAATTAGGAAAAACATATGATTGTGGCACATGGTTGGATTTTTTGTCGACGATAATATGAATAAACCAGTTCGTTAAATTTAAAAATTTACAAACTGGAGCGATTTTAAAACGAAAAATGTAAGTTAATACTTGTTTACTTAATTAATTTAGTCAATTCCAATGATTTGAAAGGTACTCGGCAAAAAAAACTATCTATTACTATTACTATCTGATATTTTGAGTGATAATTGTCTTCCCTACAAGGCCTTTTCAGACTGACCGATTCTCAATACACTCAGATAGAAACCAATATACATAAAAAACGCTGTAACAATTTCCCTTCAATTTTAAGGCAGTAAAACAACGACCTGAAGTTAACATCAACCGAGGCCATATGTTGACAGGGGATGCAAAATCACAGTTATACAAAAGAGCTGGTCAGATTTTTCAGAAATCCCTTCAATTCTGATGTAAAATATGATGCTAAAAGACTGCAGATCTCCCATTTAGATGACCGGTCATAAATAAGTTCTCAGCAAAAAAGTTTGTTTAAAAAAATACATATGGGTACATAGTGCTTGAAAATATCAATTTTTCCCTTACCTTAAACCTTTGGGAGTGGGCAAAAATGATGTTTTGTAATTTAGGCAGAATTGAATATGTGCTATCTGGGAAGACAATATCTACATGTAATATTTATTCTGTATGTTGGCACTATATTCAAACACAAACGAATCTTAAGTGTCTTAACAGTGAAACAATTTCTTATTTTCTTTCTTATTTATTTCTTTGCGAATACAACTTCACACTTAAAATTAAGACATGTATAACAAACATTTTATGAAGAAAATCCCTTCTTCGTTTAAAATAAAAATAAGCGAAATCGGCCCAATTTCATACAACCCTGCCTGACATGAAAATTTTCTCCACGATAAGGCTAGTAGCCATTTCTAACAGATTTTGGGTCGCTTAGTCAAAAATGGAAACATATATACATATTTGAAATTTAAGAAAACAAGACAAATAGCAAAATCGGCTAAAAACGGCTAATTTTTTTCTGAAAACGGCTAACAAATCGGCTGCCGGCTAAATCGAAATTTCTCCGGCTGTTTGCTATCGCAACCGGCTAAATCTAGCCGGAAAACGGCTAAAATGGCAACACTGCTTACAAGAGTGGTGTGTTTCTAAGAATCCGTAAGTCAGAAGATAATCGGTAGGTAGAAACTGATTTATTTAAATTTCTTTGTGTTTCGTGTATCACTATGGGATTTTGTACATACAAATTAATTAATTTGATATTTTGAAAACGCTCACATGAAAAGCATGTTCTGTGAATTAAGCGGATATAGTTCGAAGCATGCCCTTCAGTCAAGAATTGACATATGGAATTAATTATGTATATACATTTCTAGCGAATTTCTAATTTGCGGAATTAAAAGAAATTTATTTAAAAGGAAATAAAGCGTGTGGTTTCAGCATTGACTTATCGAGAAAAACGCTTTTTTAATTTGTGTGAAGTATTGAAATTTTAAAGTATAAAGAAAATGCATGCGCAAAACGAAAAAAAAATCAATAAGTGCTTTCCCTATGAGCGAGAAATATGTACATATCAATGAAATATACATTTGGAGTCATAAATGAGTCTTTAAGGAGTCCCATTTCGGAGCCTTTACGCTCATAATGAGCTCATTTAAGAGCCCGAAATTAGTGTTTTCCTTCCTCCGAAGGTCGACTTATATGAGCTTAAATTCATACACCAAATGAGCCTCCAAATGAGTCATATTGTACTCTTATTGGCTTCATAAACGGCTCGTTTTGGACTCTTTTTAAAGCAATTTTGGGCCTCATATATGAATCGTTTTAGAGTTTTTTTGAGGCTCTTAAATGTGTCTTGTCCTCATCAATTACTTCGTTCGGACTCTTATTTTATGTTGTCCTTTGAGCAATATTGGCCTTATTTTTCAACTCTTATTGAACTTGAAATACTATACACATGTATGTATACATACCTCAGTTATAAACATTCCAACATACATTTAATAGCAGCAACTGCAGCTAAATTTTGTATATTTTTTGTTTTTTAAATATTTTCAATTTCTGTATAAACAAGTTTATATATAAATTTCGAATCTTTATTGTTTTTACATAACCACAAAGTGCTGGCTCCTAACTTTGATCATTTATAACTCCTAAAATATTCATATAAGTGTCACACATTTTTTGTTTTTGAAGCTCATATTTCTTACCCACCTAGGACTCCTTTCAGACTCATATATTCTGAACGCTCAGAATATGTTTGTCAGAATATGTTTTATAAACCAATAATAATAATAATAATAATAATAATAATAATAATAATAATAATAAT